TGTGTGTGTGTGTGTGTGTGTGTGAGAGAGAGAGAGAGAGAGAGAGAGAGAGAGAGAGAGAGATAGTTCCCACTGTGTAATTCATTTTCATTTCACAAGTCATTGCTATGGGAACAGGGAGCTGTGACACACCCAAAAGATGAGAACTTGTGTCTGTTGTTTTTTATTCAACTCATATGGTATTGTCGATATGATGTGGGTAGTCTACTAAAGTAGCAAATTCATCCCTGTACATCTTTTCCTGCAGTTTGTGTGCTAACATTTACCCAGGAAGCTCGGGGACTGTATGTTGAATATCTTGCCTCTGCTTTTGTTTTCAGCCCACGCTTTATAGAGTGCTAGTCCCCTGGGTAGCAAAGGGGTGAAGGTCATTGTGAATGTCCCAGATGTTCCACTGTGAAGTGAAGAAACTAGAGTACGCTTCTAAGAAGTAGGTGAAATGTAATGACTGTGATAGTTGTTGAATGCCCGCTGAGTTTTTTTCAGAAGTTAACTTATTGTATGCAGTGCTTATTATAATGCTATAAAGCAGGTTGTATTATCTCTATGGTAAAAGAAACCAAGGATCCAGGCAGTTTGACCCTCTTATATTTCATACAGCTAAGTCATATACTAAAGATGGGATTTCAAAATCTACCCCCAAATCTAATATACTTTCCAGCATGCCCCATTTTTTAGAAATTATACCCATATTAACTATATAAAGAATAGCTACACACAATAAGAGATGTCTAGTTGAGTTTCTGTTTCCCCCATTGTTTGGTGATTTCATTTAGAGTAGCTTCTTATATGTTTTAGGAAGTTTCAACAGTGGTAGATTTTCATACTACTACCCCTTAGTTTTAGCTATCTCTCCTCATATTCCCTCCCTCTTTCTCCTTCTCCTCTCCCCTCCACACTTTATCCTCTTATTTTATAGTCCCTATTGATCCATAGCTCTATTCCCTTTTCTAACAAGATCTATCTCTCCATTTAGTCCCTACCTTCTGTATTTCTATTTATTGTAACTTGGTGATCATTACCGTCACAGCTGATAACCATATATAAATGAATACATACCATATGATCTTTTCCAGTTCCATCCATTTTTTTCCTACAAATTTCACAATGTCATTTTTTTAATAGCTGAGTAATGTTCCATTGTATAAACATACCACATTTTCTTTATCTATTCTGTTGTCGGACAGCTTTGTTTTCGGTTTCTGGCTATTATGAATAAAGCTGCAATGAACATAGTTGAGTGAGCGTCCTTGTTATATGATGGAACATCCTTTGGGTATATGTCCCAAAGTGTTATAGCTGGATCTTAAGGTAGATTGATTCCTATCTTCCTGAGGAAATGCCACACTGATTTCTATAGTGGCTTGTAGGCATAAAGTAATGTATAATTCATATGCTGATTTCTGTACCTGCCATATCTGGTTGCAGTCCTTGTTCTGAGAATATCCTGTCTCAGTGTAGTGTAAATGCTGCTCCCCAATTGTCCTGTGATATGCCAATAAATAAGCTTATAGTCAATCACTAATCAGGGGAGAGAATAGGGCTGGAGTTACTGCCAGGAGTGGCAGCCAGAGTGGATTTAAATTAGCCAAAATGGACTGTGTATCTGGTGCTGAGCTTGAGTAGTGGTCTCTGGTAAATACAGTTTTGCCTTCTGACTTTAGCAGTCAGTCAGCTTTTGAAAGACTGACCTTGGCAAACTTTGCATTAGGGAGCTCTTTTCCTGGGAACAAGATAGACAAGCTCCTGGAAATTCCTGGAAACAAGATAAGCAAGCTCTCTGCTACCCTGGGAGCCAGATAGCTGGTCCCGTGCAACCTTGAGTGAAACCTCAGACGAGCTGCCAGCTGACACAGATGGATGTTACAGTAAAGAAAGTTCCTTGTTCTTTCCTGCTTTTATATAGCTGGCTCTCCCTTCAATAAATCAGCACCTTGATCAATGCTTTGGTGTCCTTCTTCGTGCCGCCTTGCCTTGTTCTATCTCCCAGTCCTCCCCTCAGGTGGTATCTATGTGTGGCTGTGGGCAGCCACAGCCAGGTAGGGGTGGAGGAGTTAGAAGAGGAAGTAGGGGACTGGCAGATGTCCAGGAGGGACCAGGAGAAGGAGCTCAGCAAAAAATTTACAAAGTGTAAGTATCTCCTTGATGCCTACTGGGATGAAGCCAAATTAGCTTAGAAGGTTAAGAATACAGTAATAACTGCTCAGTTATTGTATTATGAATCTTATTATTAAACAAATATAATAGAAACTCAATTGTTTGTGTGATAGCAGAGTTAAGAGAGAAACTGAGAAACAAACACAGTTTTGTAGAAATAGTAATAGTGGCTGTCTGAGTTTGTACTCCCACCAACAATGGAGTAGTACTTTCCTTACTTCACATCCTCACCAGCATGAGCTTATTTTGTTGACCTTAGTCATTCTGAGAAGTGTAAGATGAAATCTGAAAGTAGTTTGATTTGCATTTCTGTGGGCTAAGGATTTTGAAAGTTTCTTTAAATATTTCTTAGCCATTGGAATTTTTTCTATTGACAGTTTTCTGTTTATATCTGTTCCCATTTTTTTGGTTGGGTCATTTGCTTTCTTGATGCCTAGTTTCTTGAGTTCTTATATATTTTGGATATTAGACCTTTATTAGATGTGCAGTTGGTAAAAATCTTTTCCATTCGATAGGCATCCCCTTGGTTCAAAGGATAGTATTCTTTGCTGTGTAGAAGCATTTCAGTTTCATTAGGTCCAATTTGTTAGTAGATATTAGTGCCTATGCAGATTGTGTTCAGTTCAGAAAGTCTTTTCCTGTATGAGTTCAAGGCTACTCCCTTCTATTGGGTTTAGTGTATCTAGATTTATGTTTAGGTCTTTGATCCACTTAGAGTTAATTTTTTTTAATTAATTACACTTTATTCATTTTGTATCCCCCCATAAGCCCCTCCCTCCTACCCTCCCGATCCCACCCTCCTTCCCCTTTCTGCATGCATGCCACTCCCCAAGTCCACTGATAGGGGAGGTTCTCCTCTCCTTTCTGATCTTAGTCTATCAGTTCTCATCAAAAGTGGCTGCATTGTCCTCTACTGTGGCCTGGTAAGGCTGCTCCCCCCTCAGGGGGAGGTGATCAACAAGCAGGCCAATCAGATTATGTCAGAGGCAGTCCCTCTTCCCATTACTATGTAACCCACTTGGACACTGAACTGCCATGGGCTACATCTGTGCAGGGGTTCTAGGTTATCTCCACGAATAGTCCTTGGTTGGAGTATGAGTCTCTGGGAAGTTCCCTGTGTTAAAATTATCTTGCTCTCCTTGTGGAGTTCCCGTCCCCTCCAGCTCTTACTATTTCCCAATTCTTACATAAAATTCCATTCACTCTGCCCATCAGTTGTCCATCAGGCTCAGCATCTGCTTTGACAGTCTATACTGCAGAGGCTTTCAGAGGCCCTCTGTGGCAGGTTTCAAGGTTGCTTCCTGTTTACTTCTGGCTTTCAGAGGCCCTCTGTAGCAGGTTCCGAGGTTGTTTCCTATTTCTTTTTCTTCTGATGTCCATCCTCTTTTCCTTTCTGGATGGGGATTGAACATTTTAGTTAGGGTCCTCTCTTTTGCTTAGTTTGTTTAGATGTACAGATTTTAGTGGGTTTATTCTATATTGTATGTTTATATGAGTGAGTACATACCATGCGTGTCTTTTTGCTTCTGGGACAACTCACTCAGGATAATCCTTTCCAGGTCCCACCATTTACCTGCAAATTTCATGATTTCCTTATTTTTCATTGCTGAGTAATACTCCATTGTATAGATGTACCACAGTTTCTGCATCCATTCTTCAGTTGAGGGGCATCTGGGTTGTTTCCAGCTTCTGGCTATAACAAATAAAGCTGCTGCAAACATGGTTGAGCAAATGTCCTTTTTTTGTACTTGAGCCTCTTTTGGGTATATGCCTAGGAGTGGTATGGCTGGATCTTGAGGAAGCACTATTCCTAGTTGTCTGAGAAAGTGCCAGATTGATTTCCAGAGTGGTTGTACAAGTTTACATTCCCACCAGCAGTGGAAGAGGGTTCCCCTTTCTCCACAACCTCTCCAGCATGTGTTGTCACTTGAGTTTTTCATCTTGGCCATTCTGATGGGTGTGAGGTGAAATCTCAGAGTTGTTTTGATTTGCATTTCCCTAATTGCTAATGAGGTTGAGCATTTCTTTAAGTGCTTCTCTGCCATTCGATATTCCTCTACAGAGAATTCTCTCTTTAGCTCTGTTCCCCATTTTTTAAAGTGGATTACTTGGTTTGTTGCTTTTCAGCTTGTTTAGTTCTTTATATATATTGGATATGAGTCCTCTGTCAGATAGAGGGTTGGTGATGATTCTTTCCCAATCTGTAGGCAGTCGCTTTGTTTTGATGACGGTGTCCTTTGCTTTACAGAAGCTTTTCAGTTTCAGGAGGTCCCATTTATTGATTGTTGCTCTTAGAGCCTGTGCTGTTGGTGTTCTGTTCAGGAAGTTTTCTCCTGTACCAATGAGTTCTAGGGTTTTCCCCCCTATTTTTTCTAGCCGATTTAATGTGTCTGGTTTTATGTTGAGGTCTTTGATCCACTTGGACTTCAGTTTTGTGCAGGGTGATAAGTATGGATCTATTTTCATTTTTGTACATGTAGACATCCAGTTGGACCAGCACCATTTGTTGAAGATGCTATCTTTTTTTCCATTGTATGGTTTTGGCATCTTTGTCAAAAATCAGATGTCCGTAAGTTTGTGGGTTTATTTCTGGGTCTTCTGTTCGATTCCATTGATCCACCATTCTGTTTCTATGCCAGTACCATGCAGTTTTTATAACTGTTGCTCTATAGTACAGCTTGAGATCAGGGATGGAGATACCTCCAGAAGATCTTTTATTGTAGAGGATTGTTGTAGCAATTCTCGGTTTCTTGTTATTCCATACGAAATTGAGAATTTTTCTTTCCAGGTCTGTAAAGAATTGTGTTGGCAATTTGATGGGAATTGCATTAAATCTGTAGATTGCTTTTGGTAAGATGGCCATTTTTACTATGTTAATCCTGCCAAGCCATGAGCATGGGAGATCTTTCCATCTTCTCATATCTTCCTCTAATTCTTTCTTCAGAGACTTGAAATTTTTTTCATACAAGTCTTTGACTTCCTTGGTTAGGGTTACACCAAGGTACTTTATGTCATTTGTGGCTATTGTGAATGGTGTTCTTTCTCTAATTTCTTTCTCAGCCCTTTTGTCTTTTGTATACAGGAGTGCTACTGATTTTCTTGAGTTAATTTTGTATCCGGCCACTTTGCTGAAGGTGTTTATCAGCTGTAGGAGTTCCCTGGTAGAGTTTTTGGGGTCACTCATATATACTATCATATCATCTGCAAATAGTGATAATTTGACTTCTTCCTTTCCCATCTGTATCCCCTTGATCTCCTTCAACTGTCTTATTG